GAGAGGCCAGGAGCTGCTGCTGCTGCTCCCGCTGCTGCTGCTGCTGCTGTCTCCGCCGCAGTTGCTGCTGCTGCCGTTGCTACTGTTACTTTTGCAGTTGCTGTTGCTGCTGCTGCTGCTGTGGCTGCAAGGTCCCCTGCTGCTACAGGAAAGGCAGTCACCGGCGATTCCTCAGCAGCAGCAGCAGCAAGAGCCGTAGTAGTAGCAGCAGCAGCAGCAACAGTAGCAGTGGCAGCAGCAGCCCAGCCACTTGGTGCACCACCTTTTGAAAAAGATGCTACAGCAGGTAGTGTTGCGTCTGCTGCTTCCGTTGTATCATCTGTTGCAGCTTCTGCTGCTGCTCCGGCTGCTGCTGCTCCTGCTACTACTGCTTCTGGTGCTGCTTCACCAGCAGCAGCAGCAGCTGCTGCTGTCCCATCTGCTGCCAATGGGACTTGTGCTGCAGCTGCTACTACTCCTGTCCCACCAGGCAGCAGCTGTTCGCCGCATGACTCTTCCTGCTGCAGCAGTTGCGGCCGCTGCTGCTCGTGCAGTGTTTGCTGCTGCTGCTGCTCCTGCTGCTTCACTTCTTGCTGCTGCTGTTGCTGCTCCTGCTGCATGCGGTAGCTCGCGTATGCTTTAATCGTAGTAACTCCCACCCAGGGAAGGTGCTCGACTGTGCGGCAGCTGATGATGCTGCTGCTGCTGCTGCGGCTGCTGCGGCTGCTGCTGCTGAACTCGCTGCAGGCGTCGCTCGCCCTGCTGCAGCAGCTCAATGCGGGCAAGCCTGCTGCTGCCACAGCTGCTGCTGCAGCAGCAGCTGCTGCTGCTGCGAGGGAATGCTGTAGAGAAGAGTCCTGCCCTTGGTGTTGCTGCTCCCGTATACTAGAGGTGGCAGCACCGCAGCAGCCCGTGCAATTGTTGCTGCTGCTGCTGACGAACGAATCGCTGCTAAATACATACTGCCGCTGCTGCTTCTGCTGCTGCGGTTCTTGATTCTGCTGCTGCAGCTGCAGATGCAGATGTTGCTGCTGCAGCTGCAGGTGCTGCTGCTGCTGCAGCTGCAGGTGCTGCTGGAGTTGCTGCTGCTGCTGAACCTTCAGATCTGTCTTGGCCAGCTTGCCCCCGAAGTCAATGTCTTGGTGTCGCTCGAATTCGTGCTGCAGTGCAATGCTGTGCTGATGCTGCTGATGCTGGAGCACGTGCTGCTGCTGCTGCTGCTGCAGCAGGAGCGGGCCCCAGGCAGCACAAGCCCGCGGCATTTTCAAGAGCAGCAGCACAGCTACTGCTGCAGTTTGCTGCTTCTTGTGGGTGTTAAGTCTTCTGTTCCACCGGTGTAAGCAATGCTAGTGTTGCTGCTGCTGCAACGACCCCACCCCTAGCCACCACCCCTACAGCGACAACGCTGCTGCTGTTGTTGCTGCTGCTGCAGCAAAAATTAAATGTAACCCTTAAATACTCCGCTTATTGCGTCTCAAAGAACTGGACAACTGGTGCTGCTGCTGTGCTTCTTTGTTTGTTGATGCCGCTGCTGCTGCTGCTGCCGATTGGCTGCAGCCGAACAGCCCCACCTGTTACAAATTTGCTGCTGCTGCTGCTCAAACCAGCAGCATTAGCAGCAACAAAAAAACGAAATTTCTATAAATTGAAGCCCGTGCTAGATTGTTGTCTCTCTTTGCAGCTAATCGGCTCTAAATTCCTCTGCTGCTGCTGCTGCCGCTGCCTCTGCTGCTGCTGCTGCTGCTGCTACGACTGCTGATCACCGTGTCTGAGCCCTGTGCAACAGCCTCAGCAGCTGCTAGCAATACCTGGCGTCAGCTCGTGTTGCAGCTTATCTGCTGCGCAACATGCTGCAGGATTAGCAGCAGGAAGCTATAATGGGGCCTCCTGGGACCAGCAGCTGCAGCAGCAGCCGCAGCTGCAGCAGCTGCAGCAGCTCCAGCCACAGGAATTACCTAATGCCGCTGCTGGCGCTGTTCGGTGTCGCAACTGTCATTCGCTATGTGCTGCACATTAGCGTAGCTGCGCCCAGCACTTTGCTGCTGGTGTACAGCAGCAGCAGCAACAGCAGAAGCAGCTTCACCGAGGCAATCGCAAGGGAAGAAGTCGGGCTCTCTCCTTTTGCTGCTGGGCTGTACACGCACCTGCCACCAGTGTTTGCGCTTTTAAAGACACTCACTGGCTGCAGCAGCAGCAGCGGCAGCAGCAGAAAAGGTAGCAGCAGCTGTGAATTCAAACTTTTCCTACTGCATTTGCTCGTAGACCTAGCAATTGCTGCGGCTCTTGCTGCAGCAGCAGCTTTCCTGCAGCAGCAGGATGCGGAGTCGTTGCAAGAGCCGGAGCAGCTGGAGCAGCAGCAGCTGCAGCAGGGAATGCAGCAGCAACGGCCTGCTGCGTTCATAGAGGAGCAGCAGAAAGAGCAGCAGCGGCAGCAGCAGCAGCAGCGAATAGTCAATGGTGGCCTCTTCTCGACGCGCTTTATAGCCCCTTGTCTTGCTGCTGCTTTCTTCCTTTTCCACCCATACACCGTCAGTCAGTTCTGCTGCTGCTGCAGCTGCTGCTGCAGCTGCTGCTGCAGCTGCTGCTGCAGCTGCTGCTGGACCCTGTCCATGCTACTGCTGCTGATGCTGTATCAGCTCGTTCCCATGCTGCTCATCGCCTGCAGCTGCTGTTGCTGCTGCTTCTTTTGTTCGGTGTCTTGCTGCTGCTGCTGTCGATGGCTGTGTCTGCTGCTGTCTCTGCTGCTGCAGTTGATTGGGGCGCTTGCTGTGTCTCTGCACCAAGTGCCGCTGCTGCTTCTGGCTGCTGCCATCGTAGCAGCTGCTGCTGCATCGAGGGCAGCAGCAGCAGCACACGCAGCAGCAGCAGCAGCCAAAACGGCACCGGAAAGGACAGCACCCGAGCAGCAGCAGCAGCAGGGGCTGCAGCAGCAGGCGCAGCGTTGCCTCAGCGCAGGTCAACTGAGGCTGAAAAGCCTGCTGCTGCGGCTTTGCTGCTGCTGCTGCTTTGCGCTGCTGCTGCTGCTTGGCCCCCCGCAAGCATTTGCTGCTGCGTTTGCCGTCGCAGCTGTCTCGAAATATGGGCTTCTTCCTTTGCCCCGTAAACCCTAAACCCTAATCCCTTAACCCTAAATCCTTAATTCTTTTCCTTCTGCTGCGGGGAGGGCGGGCTTGACGTGAGCAGCAAAAGTAAATAATAGGGTTAAGGGAAGCAGCAGCTAGGGTTAGGGTTTAGGGTTTGGGGTGTGTGACTGCAGCAGCAAAAGCAGCAGCAGCAAGTGCTGCTGCTGCAGTGGGGCGCGGCTTTGTCTTCCTTCTCGGGACAACAGCAGCAGCAGCATGCATCCTGAGCGCGGTTGCTGCTGCAGCAAAGTGGGATATGGTAAGCACAGCAGCACCAACAGCTGCTGCTGCACAGTAGCAGCAGCAGCAGCAACTGCTGCTGCTGCAGCAGCTGCAGCAGCAGCAAGTATTATTTTGCTGCGACTTTGCGCAGCATTTTCTGAGGGCTTGTTTCGCCCCACAGTGGCAGCTGGAGCCCATAGAGCCGGGCATGGGGGTTTCCTGGTACCTCCTCACCCTGGTAAACCCTAAACCCTAAACCCTAAACCCTAGCAGCAGACTACCACCAAGCAGCAGCCCCCAGCGGATTTCCTGAGCGCTTGAGCCAAACCCGGGCTTCTCTCTAACCCTACGGAGGCCTTTGTCCGTCGGCCCAAAACTTGTGCCTAAACCCTAAACCCTAAACCCTAAACCCTCGTGCTGCTGTGGGTGATTTTCAGGTCTTCGATCGCTACCGTTCCATCTACGTGTTTGCCTTCCAGGTGCGGGTTGAAATTTAGGGTTTAGGGTTTAGGGTTTAGGGTTTGGGCTCTCGGGTTTGTTTCATTGGGGTGAATAGCCCCTCTCATTCTGCGTCCAGATTCAGGCCTAGGGTTTAGGGTTTAGGGTTTAGGGTTTAGGGTTTGGCTTTGCTCAGGCTCTTTCGTTTGTGCTAGCAGTGCCTCTTGCGCTAGGGTTTGTGGGAAACCCTCTGGCTCACTGCCAGGCAGTTGTTGCGGTGAATGTTTGCTTCTGAACCCTAGCTCTAAACCCTAAACCCTAATTCCAAACCCTAAACCCTAATTCTGATCTCAAGGCCCAGCACGCAGCCTCAAGCTGTAGCCCTAGCTACCAACCCCAGCTCTAAACCTAAAAGTGGTTCAAAACACTAAACCCTAGCGCTTAGCCCTAAAGGGTTTTCTAAACCCTAAACCCTAGCTCGGGTTTAGGGTTTGTGTGCTGCTTCTTCAGTTAATGGTCCTTTTCCAGCAGAGCCCGAGCCTTACGGACTTTGCCTTCCTCCAGGTACTCCCTGCTGCTGCTTTCGCTGCTGCTGCTGCTGCTGTCGCTGCTGCTCTCGCTGGTGGTGCTTTCGCTGCTGCTGCTGCTGCTGCAGCTGCTGTCTCTTGGTGGTTAAGTGTTTTAGGTTTTCCTCGCTTTTCACTGGCGGAGTCTTTACCAGCGTGTCGCCTTTTCGAAGCTAGTAAAACCCTCATACCTGCTGCTGCTGCTGCTGCTGCTGCATACAATGTTGCTGCTGCCATATGCACTGCTGCTGTTGCCGCTGCTTCTACTGCCGCATGGACTGCTGCTGCTGCTGCTGCATGGACTGCTGCTGCTGCATGGACTGCTGCTGCTGCATGCACCGCTGCTGCTGCAGGTCGGGATAACAGCCTTAGTTGCTGCTTTAATTCCAATTGGTTTTTCCCTGTGGATAGACAGGGGATCTTCTCCCCCCAACGTCGCCTACGCGTTGCAGTCGCTGCACCATATGTTCTCATGTAAGCAGCAGCAGCAGCAGCAACAGCAGCAGGAGTAACAGCAGCAGCAACTGTAGGAGCAGCAGCAGCACTAGGAGCAGCAGCGGCAGTAGGAACAGTAGCAGCAGGAGGAGTAGCAGCGCTAGCAGCAGTAACTAGACTTGCTAGCAGGTGCCAACACAGTCCATGCACTGCAGCCGCTGCACTGCCCATGGGCGCTGGAGCAGCAGCAGCAACAGCAACGACAGCAGCAGCAGCAGCACGTGCACAAGTGGACTTGGCTATCTGTTTTTGCTGCAGGTCTGCTTGTGGGAGAAACCCTGCGCGTTGCAGTGCAGAGGCAGCAGCGCTACGAGCAGCAGCAGCTGGTGCAGCAGCAGCTGCTCCAGCAGCAGCAGAAGCAGAAGCTTCTGTAGCAGAAGCAGCGGCAGCAAGCAGCTTCATAGTAAACAGCTACTCAAGGGGCATAACTGCAGCAGCAGCAGCAGCCAAAATTGCCGCTGCTGCACCGCCTCAAACAGCTATTTAGTTTTGAATTTTTGTTCGTTTTAGGCCAGTGTCTGCACGGCTCGGGTGTATATACACTCCACGGCCGTGCGCTCGAAAGCCACAAAATCACTCTTGCAATCTTTAGCCAATAAAAAGTAAATCGAGACAAACAAAGACACAAGACACATAAGGAGAAGCAAATGAAAAAAAGAAAAAAAGCAACTCGAGATAAGAGAAACAAATGCAAAGAGAAAAGGAGAAAAATACAAGTAGCAGCAAACGGAGGTTCCAAGTATGCGGACGCACCGAACTGCTGCTGCAATAATAACAGTACCAGATTCAGCAGCAGCATCAGCAGCAGCAGAAGCAGCGGCAGCAGCGACAGCAGCAACAATTGCTGTTGCCTGCAGCTGCGGCAGATCCAGCGAGGCATTTCGCTAATGCAAGAAGCATCAAAACCACTTTTCTGCGGCTAAGCCAATAGTTGGAGTAGAATCCAGAAAAATACAAAAACCTCTTCAATTTATTTTAATTAACTACGTTTTTGTACTAATTGAGCTGATCTTGGATGAGGAAAAACGCAGAAGATGCGCCTTATGCCCGCGCATTTCCGCTGGCCTCTAATGAGCTGCGAAGAACTATAAAGCCGCTGTGGCCCACTGCCGTTCTTAATTCCATTCATTTCGTTGAGTTGATTTTGTAAAAAGAAGTGCAAATGGCCTTCTTGCATGCACTTGAGATTGTCAGGCTGCAGCGAGCAGCTTTTTCATAAAGGTTTCATGCGAGATCGCCAGCAAAGTACCTATGGGATCATCTGCGGGTGGTGCTGGGCCAGCTGCAATTCCGAAAGCAAGTATTTGCGAAGCTGCAAATTAATTGATTAAGAGAATGGTATATTTAATTCCCTCTTTTTTCAGCCATTTTGCTTGGCAAGTTCGCCGGCAGTTCAAGAAACAGAAGCACATAGTTGAA